AAAAACATCATAGTATAGCATGTCGTCCGAAATCATGAAAAAAAGTCATAGTATAGCATGTCGTCCGAAATCATGAAAAAAGTCATAGTATAGCATGTCGTCCAAAATCATGAAAAACATCATAGTATAGCATGTCGTCCGAAATCATGAAAAAAAGTCATAGTATAGCATGTCGTCCGAAATCATGAAAAAAGTCATAGTATAGCATGTTGTGAAAAACTATGACAAAACCGCTACAAAAACAGCAAGCGCTGAGGTGGAGGTCAGGCTGTGATTCAAGGTTCCAATGTTAGCTACATAAACGTTAACCTGAAGCTGCAGCTGTGAGTCTTTGGCTTCTGTTAGCAGAAGGCTAAACTGTTAGCATCATGTTGTCTCCATGTCTGAAACTCTTCACTGATACTGACACGTGTTTTATTTAGTTTATTGTCAGACTCTCTTTCAGACTATGTTTGATCAGTCCGTCTCTTTGTTGGGTTGCTCTGCAGTGGAGACAGTTGTTGGCAATGATGGAACAGCAACTTTCTCTGCAGGATTCTCCTCCATTGAATCAGAGTTTCACTGAAGAGACGTGCACATGCATCTGTGTTTGTAGAACAGCCAACAGGAACATTGGCATCTCTCTGAAATGAGCAGAGCCAAGAGGAGGAGCAGGAGTCTAGTTTCCTCTCCGTCAGCTTGACTTACAACATGCTCAGAGTTTATTATGGGATATTTGATGCCAAAATTAAACTGCCTACCCCAGCTTTAAGCTTTTAATATTTATTATCTCTTGATTTGGTAAAGGGGTTATTTCTTCCATCCTCTGAAATGTTAACAAATTTGTAAACAATGGCTCTCAGGTAGCCAATAGTTTCCAAGATAATTCATGATTAATGTGCCTCTCAGCGCGGCGCTGCGTTCGTCCAAGATGCTGACTCATTTTTCACATGGCTGGTATCTGTGTTTTAACAAAACTGCTCATTAATATCAGTGATCATCACGCAGCCCCGGCTGCTGTTTTCCTCAGTGTTATTCTCATTCCTCACTGTCTCACACACAGGCTGAATTAAAAAGCCAAGCATGCGTCCTTCCCACTCCTTTGCCACCGTCTCCTCCCTGACTCCTCTCCCATCTTATCTGAGTGGCCTCCTTCAGCCCACAGCTTCCTCCTGGCGACTTCCTCTTGGCTGCCTGCCAGCGTGCCGATCACTGCATCTGTCCGTCAGCAGAATACCAACTGATTAATGCTTTCACTGCGACCATTAATAAAACTGTGGAGAGGCTGCTCTCTGTAATTGAGAGGTACAGCTCGGCCTGCATTGAACCAAATGAGGAGGACATATACTGGAGGGAGAAGTGAACTCATGGGCGGGCAGGAGTGTGTATGAATTTTAGGGATGAAGAGTGGGCTGCTCTGCCCTCTGACAGCCAATGATATAGTTGCTCCAGAGTAAAATACCATGCACTTTATTTATGTGCGGGCTACAGACAGAGTGTACACAGTGTTTTATCAGATTTTATTTAGTGTCTCTTCCTGTCCTCTGTGACAGCGGCTCTACGCTGGCTTTGATCTTGATTTTCTGCACAGCAGCAGAATCATTGTGGTGAGATGATAAAGCGCTGGTGTCTAGGCCACTGGCACCAGCAGTGATCCACGGGCACTCTGCTGGACACACCCCGACTACTTGGCTCGTTTGTGCCATCCATCTCTCCTCTTCTCATACACCGAAGGATTCCAGCGCCGCAATAATTTGTTCTGGGGATGAAGGGAAAAGATGCACTTGTGTGACGCATGTTTGACTCAGAGTTTGGCTCAACTGGACTGCTGTGTAGTGTAGGATGTACACACAGTTAAAGGACAGGGTGGCTTCTTTTTTAAAGGCACACACACACTGAAAGAGAGGGATATATGTTAATATCAGTACATCATCAGTATCAGCAGATATCGGCTTGAAAATCAGAATCGACCAATGTGTTTTTTCTTATTTTGCACAATGACTGAATATCACACTGAACAGTATTTCATGTCTCCATCTGCTGCTGGCCGTCACCAGTACGCATGTGTAATATGTTAATTCCACTACAGAGGAGACTTGATGATGATCACTGAAGTTAGGTGGAAAAAGTGGATTTATCTGTGTTGTTATTGGTTATTGATCAAATAAGTTGTTACATATCTGCAAATCAGATATCAGCAAAAAAGGATCTGATGCGTACGCTGTGAAGATTTAAAATGGCTGAACATGACTTTGACGCCCTTACGCAGACTGTGTTTCCATTTTGGAGCCTCAAATGAGAAACCAGTGACCAGAGAGGAGAGACGGAGACGCAGAGGGGAACGTACAGCGAGAGTGCGCACCAGTTTTAGCTGATGTTAGCTTGTTGTGTTGTCACATGTAGGGCTGGTGTAAAATAATCAGTTCATCTGATTCATATTGATCTTCATTTGAATGACCCGATATCGATTCATAAAATCTGAGATTGATCTTTTAATATACGCTTTTTCCCACAGATGTGTGAAGCTTTTACTAATCTCGCCAGTAGTAAACCGGCTGCGGCGCTAAATTATTGATAGTCTTGAGAAGCTCCGACGTCACCAGCTCTTTCATCTGTAAGTGTTAGATTACCGTTTTTATGTTTTGGTGTCATTCGTTATGGTGCTGCAGCAGCCGCTCCTCCTGCTGTCTGAGGGTGCGTTTGATTTGTACTTGGAGGTTTGAAGTCTGAAGTGGGAATGACGTAACCCACGAGTTGACAACAGGTTTTGTATTATAGTTGACAACGGTCGGAAAAAAACATGGACGCCCGCAAGAAAGCCTTTGATAAAGTTGCTATAAACTTTAACAGAGTGTGTACTCACTACTTATGTGACCGGCAGCCATCTTGAATTCGTTAGTTGGGGTTGATGCGGTTGCTACGAGTTTCTGAGTTGGAAATCCGACCTCAGGGTGCGTTTGAGTTTAAACTTCCGACTGGGAACTGGGAATTTCCGACCTCCAAGTACAAAACGAACGCACCATGAGCGTTGTGGCTGCTGCAAAACATTTACCTGCGTTGACGACAACTACTCAAGTCAAACCTTTATCAGTACACCTGCTGAGCAACATGTAAACATCTAAACCTGACTCAGTGTTGTGATGTCAGGAATGTGACTTAGTTAAATGACGTTTAAGATTTGTTTCCTGTGAGATGTTGAGTTTATATTTATATTTATATTAACGTTACTGATGCTGCTCTAGAAACATTTAGTTATAAAATATTCAATTTGAATTCTGTACTGAATTTTAGATAATTCCTTGTAAAATGTCTAGTATTAGTTTTCTGAGACTCTCTGTAACACTTCAGCAAAAATTGGTCATTGAAATATCGTGAATCGATTGAGGACATCAGTGGTGAGACCCAGCCCAACTACTCATATAGAAATGTATAGAAATTGAAAATCTGTGCCTGCCTACATATACAGTAAATAGTGACTAGGCCTAAAATGTTCTTTGGTGCTGAAGATTCAGATCTGATGTCTGCAGTGCGCCACAGGAGCATCAGTCGACACTCGTTAAATGAAGCGAGTCCATTATCACTTTCAGTTAGTCTGGACCTGAAGAGTCCGAAAAGATGAGACTGGTTTTGATTTTGTTTTACTCTGCTCATGTTTTTCAGGACTTTCCCAGTTCCCTCTGCACCACACCGTCACTGCTGACTCCACTGTCGTCCTGGGCTGCAGACACACAGACACGAGCTGCCTCCAGCTGCTTCAGTTCAGCTGCCAGTGACGAGCTTCACCTTCACGTGATTCACACCATCCCACCAATTTCATGCCCCGACCAACCACCAGGTCCAGCACAGGCGTCCTACCTGCGAACACGTCCAACTGCCTTCACTGGAACACACGACCTGGCTGGAGGTGCCGTTACTGGGAACCAATCCCAGAATCTTTGTAGTGGAGGGAGAGAGCTTCACCCCAGCGCACCCAGTCTGTGTTATTATCAACCAATCCTGTGAAGAGGCTAAAACCAGCAGTGAAGTATTATCTGAGAGTATTTTTTGTGAAGCCTCAGTCTGACATAAATCACTCTGATAGAACTCCAGCTGGAGCTGTCCTGTCGCAACTGACGTGTCACTTTGTTAATGAAGTGACAGGAAGTAACTACAGCGACCAACAAAGCATCACGGAGCATGCTCAGTGGAAACAAAGCTTGTATTTACTTTAATTTCACAGATAAGAAACAATAAATTGTGAAGACAATAAAGCCTCCACACACTGTGTGTGATTTATCCTGGCTGAAATATGAGCAGAGCAAATCTCTGCTAGCTGCTAGGCTAATTTATACAATGTAAAATGCCATAGGCTTGTGCTAATAATGTTAGCATGTTGTATTTGTGGGGAAAATGTGTCCAGATAAAGACAAGTGTTTGTCTGTGAATGCTGCGAGTTATAGTGAAGCTGAGTTGTGTGTTTACTGTGTGTTTTAAGGGCATTTAAGATCAACTAAACTTTACAGCACTTCACAGAAACCCTGTCGCCAACTAGTGGTTTAGAGGTGTAACTGCAGAGCGACACAGACACCACTGACTGCTGCAGGTGAAATCCCTTCACCGTGTCAGCCCGAACCACGGCATCTAAAACTCTGAAACTGTGACAGAGCCACTGATGTGTTGGCATCAAGGTTTATTATCCTTTATAATGTACAATATACAAAAATATAGGGTACCAAAAAATTCACAGTGTCTAAAAGGCAGTGATTACAGTCTACATGACAGGTCTAACAGTACACCTGGTAAGTTGCATAGAAGGGCACAGAGCCTCACATCGCAGGGGACAGAGCTCACAACTGACCAATCAGATCACGGCTGTCAGACGGGGCCAATAGAGGCGACGTTTAGATCACATTAATGTAATTTCTGCTTTAAATGTGACTGTTTTCAGTCTCTAATATTTGACAGTGTCTGGTGCTACAGAGTAATCATCAGTCTGGATTCATGTGTCTGTGGGAGTCTGATATTTGAGCAGCTGGGAGAGGTCAGAAGCCGCGGGCGCTCGGTCACATCGTGGAGCTCTGTCCCCAAACAAACCTCATGGTTGGTGTGTACTTAGCTGCTGCACTTTTTTTAAACAACTATAAGGCTTTTTTTAAACAAACAGTGTTAGCTATACAATATACAGATACATTTACACCATCCTCTGCAGGGTCATTAGATGGGCTGCTCCTATATACAGATAGAGCTCTCATCTCGTGCATGTACAGTAGCTGAACTGAAAAGCATTGCTGGGTTAGCATTCATCAATCAGGCAATAATAATAATAAAATATAGCTGTGAAAATGCCCTTTATAAACCAAGCTTTGACTATAAATAGTGTCAGTTCCACCTCCACAGGAACCAGAGGCGCGATGCTTTAACTTACAATGATTAACATCTTAAACATGAAAGATAGAAAAACAGTAGAATGCCGGAGTGTCAGCGACGACAGGATGTGGAGGAGAAAACAAACATCCTCGTATATAATCATGTATGAAAGCATTTACATTGTACAAAATACAGCAAGCCCCTTTGCTCCATCAGGCACACGCACACGCAGAGATAGAGTACATGTGTTTGCATGTACACACATCCACACACACATGCACTCATGTTGATGTCACACAGGCAAACTGCTAAGCGAGCGTAATTTAGCTGTTTTCTTCTCAAGCAGAGGCCGAATGTCTCGTTACAGACGCTCTTCTTTGTGTTAGCGTCTCTACTGAAGATGCAGCGGGTACCAAACGTGTGAAAAATCAAAGCGAAGGAATGTGTTGGTTCAGTGACGTGAAATTAGAGAAAACAAGAATTAATCAGCTATATCTTATTTAACAAAATATTTCCTCCTATGCTACAACGTGTTGGAAACAAAATATCTTAAAAAACAAACATAAAAATGGAACAAGTGCCAGTCTACTAGCTTATTCTACCGTCATAGAAAACCCAATCCAGTTGTTCAGCACACTGGCCATATTTGATATGACCACCGAGCTATTTAGCACTCAGTAGAATCGACGCGTCCATCGGAGAATCGATTGGAGAATCAATCAATTCCCTTTCAGAAGTTCTTTATTGATCCTGGGAAAACAAATTAAACAGAAGAAATAGAAAGAAAACAGATCTCGCCCCTGCCCTCTATTGCATACAGGCAACCAAGGCATTCCCAAAGCTTTATGTACAGTTCAGACCGCTTCCCATAATCCCCCCTGCTCTGCCCTTCACGACTCAACGTCCTTGTCCACAAACGCCGTTTGTCTTCCAAACAGCCGTCCGAAAAACTTGAGTGACTCTGAAGTTCTTATCTTTTCTGTCACGTGAAACACCAACACTGGAGGGCGAGCGTCCGCCCCCAACAGCCCGGCTGATATTGATCTCTAATTTATTTCATCATCGACTTCATTGAATGTTCTCTTGTGTTGTTCTCTCGCTCTGCGCCGTGCGGCAAGGACACGAGGATATGCGCCGTTTGTTCTCGGTAACTGCTTCTGTTGTCGAGGGACTCAAAGTTCATTACAGGCTGAGAGTGTGGTTAGTAATGGAGAGGCGTGAAACAGTGACCCACATCCAGAGAAATGTTTTTTTGTTTCATTAAGATTCTGTTCATGTTCGTCTCTGTAAATGAGGACTGTGAACTCAGCACCTGCGCTGAGGTGGTGTGGTCGCAGCAATCTGTCTGAAGCCATAACTTGTCCTGCTAGAATTTTCCACTAGACTCCGGCATGAAGCTCAGAGTTTACTCTGCTGTATCCCATCAGGCCCTTACAATAACACCCCCAGCTGGTTGCATAAGTCCCAGACTGCACCAGGACACAGGCCTCGTCGTCCAGACCCACAGCTCCTGATGGAAAGTTCCAGAAACGCCCTTAAAGACACAAACCCTACCATGTGGAAGAGACTACGGGGGCGAGGAGAGGGGCGATGATGAACACAGGAACCTGGCCGAGCTCTGAGAAACGTTTCAGTTCATGTCGGTTCAGTTATGTCACCATGGCAGCGGGGCGGCGTCCGTTGGCAGGGGGGTTCAGAGAGCCGGTCGTGAGGCTTGTCTCAGCTGTTGTTGTTTTGGTTGTAGGTCCTGCATGGCGAAGGGGAGGAGTTGGGCTGGTAGTCGTATTTGCCGAGCGCTGTGGGATAGTAGGTGGTGGTGTAGACGTTTGTCTGCTGCAGCGGCGTTGGGTAGAAGTTGGATCTTTCATCTGGCAGCAGGTTGTTCTTGTTCAGTGTCTGGAATGTCAGCAGAGAGAAAAGAGGTGTTAGCCTGCAGGGCCGGAGATTCTGTTGATTCCCTTCATTGGTTTGATAACGATTCACAAGATCTCGATTCAACTGGGGACATCTAACTTACAGTACCAGCTCTGTTTGCATAGAAACGATTTTCAGAGAAGTAATGTTGTAAATTAGACATAAAATTATTTTAAAAAAGAATGAATTAAGAACAGAAATAGAAGTGAATATTTTAAATGTAACTAAAAGTTGTTTCCAGTGATGTTTACAACAGCAAAGTCACCATATAAACTCAGTATTATCTCACTGGAAAACACTTTAAAATATCAGTAAAATAAATCATAATAGAGACAGTGTCAAACACAACCAGCTTCACTATAACTCGCAGCATTCACAGACAAACACTTGTCTTTATCTGGACACATTTTCCCCACAAATACAACATGCTAACGTTATTAGCACAAGCCTATGGCATTTTACATTGTATGAATTAGCCTAGCAGCTAGCAGAGATTTCCTGTGCTCATATTTCAGCCAGGATAAATCACTCACAAGACTTATCAGCACCACCTGGGACCAGTTTAATACCAGCGAGAGTCAAAGCTTCACAGATCTGTGGAAAGGATTGATTGACTTGATTATTTTAACCCAGCCCTATCAGCCTAACACGCTCACACGTATATATTACATATATACGTGTGTTGTACCTCACTTAAAAAGATTTTTTCAGTCGATTTACCAGTGCAAAAATGTTTTGGGTAGAAAAACAAATGTCTATATAAGGAGTTATTCTCAGCTGTATTTGGGGTGTAAGAAATGACTGATGTGTTTGAGTTTTGTTTAGATGCAAAACTTTGTGGTTGATCACCAGATTCTTGTTGATCCTCAACCCTCGTGTTGTTGCTGTTTCGACCACAAATCCATTTTCTTGGTTTTAGTCTGTCATTTAGTGTCAAACCTGACGTCATGGTTACAGAGACAAACATGAATGTGATTGTGCTTGTTACGACAGTTTACAACAGGTAACAACTGCACTGAAAATGTGAATATTGAATTAAAAAAATTGGTTTATTGAACTTATATTTGCATTTTTTAATAAAAAATATTGTGGTATAATTATTAAAATGATGTTTTTTTATTGGCTTTTTTGCCTTTATTGACAGGACAGAAGGTGAAATGGGGAGACAGAGAGAGAGTGCGGATTGACATGCAGCAAAGGGCCACAAGCCGGATTCAAACCCGCGGCCTCTGCAGCGAGGCAATGCCTCTGTACATGGGGCGCCGGCACTATCCACTACGCTACCGATGCCACATTAAAATGATGTTTAAAAAAAATCTCACGTTTGAGAAACACTGACTCATAGATGTTTGACATTTTTTGCCATGTTACTAAATACTTTACTTAAATACTTTTTATTTACTTTCTTCTGATGAGGTGCACATGTTCGTAGTGGAGAGAAAAATGTGTCCAGTCATGTTTAAGTTTCTTTATTAAGAAGCATTTTAATATGTAGGTAAATATGCTGCAGGATGTTTTCAGAAAATACATTTTCAGGACTCAATTAAAAGCCAGAACGGACTTGTTAAGATAGAGGGTTTTCGCTGTGTGGACGCCGCGCTCTGTTTAATGTAGGAGGTAAAAAATAATATGAGCAATTCATGCCCACAGGTGAGTAAAATACCTCCACTGTGCTCGAGGTTATAGCTCCTGCACTGTAAGTGTATTCATAACCAAAGCAAACCAATTTAACAAATTTAATTTAGTTCATGTCAAGCATACTCAATACACTAATATATGAGATGGCGGGAATTCACCGCAGCTCTCTTAAATAAAAACAAGTCTAAAACCCACATTTTATTCTAATGCAATTGCTGAGTCTGTGGTAAAAGCCGAACATAAGGTGAAACACTTTCCAGGGGAAGCATTAGACTAATGTAATCCATCTGAACAGCTCTGGGGACCGAGGCAGGAAGATAATCAGGTTAGAGTCGCTGAAACACACAACGCCGAGCATCATAAATTGGCCTGGAGGAGAGGGAAGCTGCTGGATGAACAGGGCTGTAGTGCTGCACGGTGACATCGGCTGCACATCCAGCAGAGTCTGGCTGCCCCCTCTGGTCATTAAAGCTAATGAGTTCAGGCTCTCAGCACCACGATGGCTGTCAGCGCCGCGTCCGCACAGCGACAACAATAACAGCCAGGACAAGTGCCAGGAGGCCGACACCATCAAAAACACAGGGATGCATCCTGGTGGCGACACGTTCCTGCCACGCTTTAGCGGGATCTGAGATAGTGTCAGGTGAACGGGGATGTTGGAGAGGAATCCCTGCTGACGGGCGCACTGCGCAGGACTGTCCTAAAAACAACCAGCAGACTCACTCAGAAGTACTTCCTCTCAATCATCACTTGTGATCCACTGTCAGTGTGTCGTCATGTATTTATCTGCGTATTTACTTATTTGTGTTTGAGACGTTCCTGGACACGGCATGCAGGTTAAGGTTTCCGTTAATTTTGCTTTCAATAGCCTGACACCCATTAATAATATCTAAGGAAAAAAATGCAAAATGACGTAAAGTAAAAGACGCCGTTGCTTTTAGTTCAGCGCTTCATTGACCCAGCGAGTCTGAACACCACCTTTCACAGAGCTAACCATTTACAGGTGCTGAAATCCTAAGGTTCTGCCTTTTATTTCATTTTCTTTGAGTTACAGGCGGCTCGCTGCGCTAACATGGAAACATGGCGCCCACCCTGCACTGGTGACACCAACCTGATGGCAGGACAGCTTTGCTGCAGAGACATGGTGGCCACCCTTCGGTCGCCCTGGTGAGTACGCAGCTTCATTTTTAAGCATTGTTAACCATGTTAGCACCACGAGCTGTGCTGACACTGCTAACGATGTGAACAGAGCTAAAATGCTAAAGCTGCTGCACTGTTGTGACCTGCAGGGAGACTGTAGAGACGTCTCCACAGAGACGCTGTTAGGACGGCGTTACTAGCGGTAACCGACGAAAGAGCAGCACTTGTGGTTAGCTCACCCAGACTCGAATTGAAGAGTAACAACATCAACTTACAGACCAACACGTCAGAGTCATGCATACATTACATTATTCTTAAAATATAAAGAGTAAGAAAGTAACTTAACAAAAGGAACTCTAGGTCAGTGGTTCCCAACTGGTTTATCATGATGAAACTGGTGAGTAACACCCACGGGCCCCGTTTCCTCTGTACTTCACCTCTTTGTCTGCATTTGTGACATTTTGAGTCCCGTCTGGTTTTGTGTTGCTTCCTCTTCCCTTATCGAGCTAATTCATCATGTGTCTGACAGAGATGTAGAAATATCTGTTTGTAATATTTAATAATCTGAGCTGCTGTGTTTATTCAGAGTATCATCAGGGGACGCAGACCTGTTGGAGATTTTCAGGGTAATACAGGCGCAGTTTTAGATTTCAGAGGATGTGACTGATAACACGTGCTGCGTCTGGGAGACAGAATATTCTACTTTGGAGTGTAAAGGTACATTTAGGAAAACAGAACAATAAGCGTTTGGTGAGTGATTGTTCTGTGCCCTGAAATGTCTGACTGCAGCCTCCACGCTGACTAAACCTAAGATGGTGGACACAAAGATTAAACTCCCTGTTTCAGGTCATAAAAAGTTTTAAGTTCATTTATCTAGAGCTTATTATCTCAAGCATACTTTAGCACACTTCACAGAGACAGAAAAATCAATAATAATCTCCCAGACTTTAACTAATCAACAGTTAGGGAACAAAACAGCACAAGTTTTGGAGAACAGGACATAAAATTGCACTTAAAGTCGACGAGCCTCTGGTGAAAATAGTTTCTTGACTTTGTGTAAATGTGAGCGCACAGTGGAGCGATAGCAGTGGGAGGTCGAGGGCTGACTAAAGCGCTGGAAAGCTAATGGGGCCCATTAATAAGGATTTGGTTTGTGGGCAGGTAGGACGGATTAAAGCCTATAGGTTCTGTATAAGAGCAAGGAGGAATAAAAATGAACAGTAATTCATCTTCTGTGGTTAGCGCTCTATTGAGATAAATGCATGAATAAAGGCTCTAAATAAAACATGAATCATGTTGCCCTTGAATCTGTAACATTTACATTGTGTGTGTCGCCCTGCAAATACTGCCTCCATTTCCATTTGTATGACTTTTATCTACATAATATTCACACAATCCTTCAGTGGTCACGCACCTTAAACTCCATGGGTGTGTACTTCTCGTTCTTTGGTGTGGTGTTGCCCTTGTAGTTGAGGTGGTTCGGGGTGGTGGGGTGGATGACGGCTGACTCCTGTGAGGGCTTGTGGAAACGCTGACAGTAGACGTAGATGAGGAAGGACAGCAGCCCCGCCCCCAGGAAACAGGAAACACCGGTGGCGATCAGGTGGATGGAGGTGAACGCTGGGAAATGAAGAGGATGCGTGTTAGCTGATGTTATCACGTTATATCTTGAGAGCCTTTATTTACATCCCAAATTTACCTCAACTCACATTCTGAGTCAGATCAAGAACACAGATTTCAAACAGGTGGTGCAAAGGTGTCCGCTGGCCTAAAGGTTAAAGGGCGCTAACTTCCTGCCTCCACTCATTTCAGTGAGGATAAATAAAATTGATTGAATTGATTGACTGATCACTCCCAGGCCACACTGCCTGCGTGAATGATGGTGATTAATTAAGTATTAGTAGTATTCACTACAGTTTCAATGTCTTATCTGTCACAGACATAAAAAAATATAAATATTTCTTGTTAATTCAACACTTCCTGTGTTTGTTTCAAAATAAAAGCCCTCTGACTGTTCCTGTCGACACAATCCCTTCATGTGTGAACACAAGGCTTTTTATTGTCAAATATAGGACAGTGTTGTTGACGATGCAGCGGCTGCACGGCTCCATAGATTTGTGCAGGATCAGCTTTTAATCGTGGAGATACAGCTGTTAAAGCAACAGAAGCGCCGTCTGTGTGAACACCACACATGCGAGCCGCAGCAGTTCAGTGAGGTAGCTGTCACGCCCTGGTCACACACGTTAGGCGGCAGAAGGGAATCAGTTTCAAACATGACAGGGGAGGTATTAAATGGCTGCCACCCATGTGATGTGTACAGTTTATATGGTGTTTAACTTCAGGTGGACGCAGCCTGGCTTTGGCTGATCAAAACGCAGTCATCATGTCAGCAGAAAGGAAACAAGATACTGTTGGTGTCTCAATATCTGCCGCTGTACAGCACAGTGTGAGCATCTGATAAGGACGACCAGCAGGAACACCGGGATGACATTTCTACCAAACTTCAGATGTCTGGTACATTTTCCAAATATGCAGAAATGTTGGTCATGTAGGGATTTCTGTTGTCTCGCTACAGTGTGAAGCTACAAGCTAGTCTGTACTTCAGCCAGCGACGTTCACTGAAGCAGCCGCCTGGCATCAGTGTCAGGGAAACAACATTAAACCACCAGCTACGTCAGTGAAGAGTTGTCAAACTTCTTCACCACTCTCAAATAATTCCAGCTTGTCAAAGTAAACTAGTTAAACTACATCATGAAGATTATCACAATCTGAGTGAATCTCACACGGAGCCACAGCTGAACTGACAGTGAGTAAAGTGTCGGTGTGTTTGAGTTAGGGACGAGGGCAGGTCAGTCCTCACTGAGGCCGCCGAGGATTTGTTTTAAGAAGAGAATGCGGAGCATTTCTTTGGGTGAAATCAGGAAACTGCCTTACTTTAAGGGAAATTTACAGTATTTAATCAAACATCTTGGGTTTAAACCTGAGGTGACTTTAGTCAAAGTCCAGGTGATCGTCATGAACTGACAGCTGTGGCCAGTAAACTGTGGTATATGTGGTGTCCCATATTGTGCTGCAAAAACCATCATGAGAGAACTGTGAATACGTAGTTTATAAATGACTTAATAAACTACACAACCCAAAGGAGTTAAAGCTGAAGAGCTGCTGGGACCTGAATGTTATTTAACTGCCACCAAACTAATGCAAATTAGAGTTAAACAAGTGATTAAACTACATGTAATTAAGTGATCCTGAACACAGCCTGCCGTCACAGCTGAGGACTGAAGCAGCTGCTTTTAAAAATACTTTTCTGGGTATTGAACGTGCAGGTAGGCGGTTGTCAGGGCGACGGTGTCAGAGCAGCTGAAGACACTAAAATGCAACATCTCCAGTTCAGTTCCTGCATTTGTTGCATGTCACGCCTGTGTGTCTCCACCTGAATGTTCTGGCTGTATCTAAACTCTGAGCTGTCCAATAAAGACTATGAAAAAAACACCTTTAAAATACTCAGTAGAACAAATGATCAGCAGTTTGTCTCCTTCACTCACACAGTAATGTTGATTTATTGTTTGGTTTTTCCTGCAGTTTTCAACCTGGGAACATCGTCACATTTCTCCTCATCTCTGCACTAACAGCGTCTAAATAACTTCAGGTGAGAACAGAGTGATTCATACAGGTGTACAGCTCACTCAGTGTCACCTGACACTCATCACTGTTCCTCTGTTGATATCCTGATGCTGCTCTCATCCCTCCAGCACCAGAACCTCGTCCTCAGCTCAGCGTTTCATTTGGCTAAAATATCGTCCATGTATGTGTGAAAGGAGGATTAGTTCACTCAGCAGGATCCTCGCTGCTTCTTAGATTCTCTCAGAGCTCCTTCAAAGAGCCTTTTACACCAAATCTAACTGTATAACACTTTGACACGAGTGTATCTGACTCAGCTGAGCTCAGGGGATATTGGCTGGGTGTGTGAGGCTGCTGTGAGAAACCTGTCAGGTTAAAGGGACAGTCCACCCTAAAATCAAACATACATGTTCCCCCTCTTCCCTGTAGAGCTGTTTATCAGTCAGATAGTTTAGGTGTGAGCTGCAGAGTGTTGGAGATATGGGCCGTAGAGATGTCTGACCAATTGTACACTGCACAGAAGGAAGTGTGCATCAACTCATGGACAAGAGGTGCATGCTTTTGACAGCGTGAGATTGTAAACAATGGCGTCCTCTGCTGAGCTGTAACATTGTCTCGCTCGGTGGTGCTGGGTGAGCTAGCAGTAGGTGCACACTTCCTTCTGTGCAGTGATACAGTTGGTGGACATAGTTTCGTAGAAAGAAAATAGTTCCTACATGAAACTACAGCATCAAGGTCTGTGGATTATCTGGAGTAACCAGGTCATGATTTCTGTACAGAGACACTGATGTTGAGTTTTGAGCTCCACAAGCTGAGTGTCATCTAGTTGTGTTATACTGGAGAGAAGTCAGACATCTCTACGGCCCATATCTCCAACACTCTGCAGCTCACACCTAAACTATGTACACTGATAAACAGCTCTACAGGGAAGAGGGGAAACATGTATGTTTGATTTTAGGGTGGACTGTCCCTTTAAACAAATCTTCTGCACAGTTACAGCAGCTCTGACAGATTCCTAAACTTTACATGGGCTGTTATTTTTTTGCATGTTTTGAGTCTTGTTCATGTTTTTGTCCACAATTTCAGTAATTTTGTTTTTGTGTGATGATTTCTTCTTTTCAGGGACAGAAATATGCACCCTGGTTTGTTTCTTCCTGTTCTGTGCTCCCTGTCAGTAATTTAGCTTTCAGAGGAGGTTGTGAAAAAAGTCTCCAGTCTGATGTGAGTTTGTAATTTCTTGGCACACGGAGGAAAATTGGACTCAATTTGCAATTATCCAATAGATGGGCAACTTTTGTCCGGTTCGAGGTACATCACAGTTTACATGATGTTTCCTCTCCTCTGAATAAGACACATTAAAACAAACATAAAGATGTACATAAGATGCATGAGAACACGCGTGATGGACGGACATCTGTGGAAACGCGGGGGCAGACGTTAACATGCAAACAGGAACAAAGTGAAGGCAGCTGTTAATCCACTTACCTCCGCAGTGTTGATCCTTATCAAAACCAGATGCAGGGAGGATGACTGCAGAGAGGAGAGGAACACAGGGTCAGACAAAAACATGCGCGCACACACACACACACACACACACACACATGCACACGCAACAGAAACAGCCTTCAGAACACAACACAGCCATCGACTGTAACATCAGGGGAGTTGACACATGCAGAAACAAAAACAGTGAATGAGAAATTGAAATGTCTTAAAACGTTGCACAAACGCTCCACAGAGAGGTTTGTTTTTTTCTGCAGAAAAATATCTGTTGAGTGAAAAAACGTCTCTGCTCTAAAATACAGCCTCTGTAGTTTCTGTTAGAGACACAGCAGGACAATCATTTACAGCTACAGCGAATTCTGTGCCCCACAAATCCTCGAAGGAAAGACGAGAGCAGGGAGAGCTGATCTGTGTGTGTGTGTGTGTGTGTGTGTGTGTGTGTGAGAGAGCTGTTTTAACTGCAGCGCCACATCTCCTGATTAATTTTTTGGCCTAATTTTTCAGCTTCCTCACAGACGCCTCCCCTCTGCGAGTGACCTTAACAAATCCATCCATCGCCTCGTTGAAATTTGCAATAAAATTAGATGTGATTTGGTGTTGTGACAACCCATTAATATTAATCGCCTTCGTCTGGACTCATTAGGGATGCGCGGTGCGCAGAGGCCTCTGCTGGCAGGCCATGAAAGATCATTTCAGGAGAAACTTTCTGAGATCGTCATCAGCATAACAAGGTGCGCCGGGGCCAACGGGGTCAACCGCTGACTTGTTGGATTCACATGGACTTAATTATGGTTAATTAACAGAAGCAGATGACTTTAGTGCACATCACGCAGAGGATGCCAGCTACACACAACACACACACACACACAGAAACAATGTGTGTATGGATGTTTGTGAATGAGGATGATGATGATGCTAACTGAGCATGATACTGTACATACATGACAAAGACAGACAGAACGTGTCCTAAAATCACAAACTGCTACTGCTGAGGAACATTTAACCACAGGAGGACTGAAGGATTGTGACCTCTTTCCTGTCCTAAGCATGACCTTAAGGTGGAAAACACAAAAAGGAACAAGGCTAACCCGCTCCAATGGCGAGCACATCATGTTCTCTGCTTTCCATGTCAGAAAATACAAATGCTCACGTTTCTGTTTGAAGCACGGTACAAACCCTCCCCGACAGAGGAACCCAGCAGCATGAGGAAACAGTGAGAAGCTCACAGTGTATTTGGTGATTTTCAGGGCAACAAAGGAAACAAGTTGTCTCCTCAAAACTCTGCCAAAAGGGCATCGCACCTGAGGAACCTTTATACGGCCAACCTTGAACTTTATGGCGACTTTGAAGGAGGCTGCAGGTACAGAGTGTATCTGAGAGATGACTGACTCACAGTTCAGTCGATTTCTGTTTCTTTCTGCTCCGCTCAGGTGAACGAGTTTAAACTGGTTTGATTTTGTGCCAACGGCCGGAACCGGCAGATTAAACAGTAACCTTCATCAGCAACCCGCTGACGGCAGAGTCCTGTCCTAGCCGACGGGTAACTCACAATAAGCTGTGTAACAGGTGAAAATATGTACACTAAAACTTGGTGTATAAGTCGCACTTTTTTTCACTTTTTTTTCATCTAAAAAGTTGGGTGCGGGTTATAGACTGGTGCGACCTATAGACCAAGGTAAATGCTGACATAGGTAATTTGACCCACAAGATGGCGCTACGTTAGGCTGACCAAACGTCCTCTTTTGCCCGGACATGTCCACTTTTCACGTCCCGTCCGGGGCATCCGGGGGTCTTTTATAAACTGATGATAATGTCTGATTTTCCGTGTGTTTGTGTGTGTGTGTGTTAGAGTGCGGCACGGGCCGCATATTTCTGTCCGAACCCGAACCGAGCCCGACATTATTTAATGACCAAAGCACCGAGTTTGTGTCACACACTGGTTACAGGCTATTTAACAGGCCGGGCGTGCTCAGCTGCGGAGAGGGAGACCTCCGTGTTGGAGACGGGAGCGGGAGGCGGGAGGTCTGATGCTTCCAGTGAGAGGAAAGGGAGAAATAAACAGCCAATGTGTGTGTGTGTGTGTTATGTTCAGGTGTTGTCACGTAAATAACAGTGCCCAAGCAATAAACAGGACAGACAATAGGATTTTATTTATTTTTACACTACATTTTCACTGAAAGCTGACCGATGTTGTTATACCGTAATTTTATTTCCTGAAGAGGTTGTTTGGAAAATTGCAATCTGAAAAGTAACCAAAGCTGCTTAAGAGGTTATTGTGTTTTGAATGTGTTTCAAATTAAAAATAAAGGGAAACAGTGTAGGAATAACTTGTATAATGTTTTTATTAACAAATAGTAATATAAAACCTTGTTTTCCCTGTTTGAGACCTTAAAAAATAGACTGCGACTTATATTCTGAGTTTTACGGTATATGTATTAATTCACAGGTAAAAATGAACTCCAGGTGGGCGTGCAGCAGGTGAGAACAAAAATCTGTTTTATATTTTTCCGAATAAAACACAGTAAAAAGATGTGCAGTATCTGTATAATACTTTGAGTTGCTTTTATTTTGAAAGTCAGTGACACCAGTGTAACCTTTGACCCCGTGGTCACATTGGTCACCGACGTGGAGGACTCCAGCCATGACACTCTGCAGCCCGAGGATGAGGTGGCAGCCTACATGGAGTTCGGATCCTTTGGAGGTTTGTTGGTGGTGGAAGGAGCATGCTAACATGTTTCCTAACCTGGCAGTGATTGAATGTTTACACCATCCAGTCAAAGAGACGGAGAACCAGCTTCATGTGAGGGACTGGCTTCCACATAATGACAGGTCACAGATTGGTTCTGGTACGGAGCTTTATGGGTGGGTGCAGCACTCTGTCTGAGCTAAAACGGAGCTAAATCCAACTTGTATTTAGGCAATATGAGAACATGATTAACATAAAGTTTGTTTAGAAACAAACAAGCCTTTCAGTAGAGGTGGGAGGGGGAGGGGCAACACACGTTGTGCTTGTTTACTAGAAAGTTCATATGTTTTATGAGGGTGACAAGATGGAGACATTGCTGTCAGTCTCTCAAGAATTAAAAGTGCTCTCATATGTTAATATTCTGGATGTGACGGTGATAAAAGAGGCTGGCTGGTAGTGACGTGACGTGACTCTACTTTGGTCAGACACCCTGTTTCTATGTATTCCTGTTGCTCAGTGTGATAACACTACAATGCACGAGGAACGTCATTACGACGACAGAAAACGCCCAAATACTAAAGTGAAGTTGTGCAGAAAACAGGTGAAAGGTATGCAGCCACAACTACCCACTAACAAGAGCCCACATGACCACAACGCAGGCGCAGTAGAGTCTAACGCAGTCACTATGTCAGAAAGGGGAGGTGATGCTGACGCCAACTGATGGCATGGAAGCTTTAATCTTCTAAATGTCTTCAGACATCAGAAATGTAGTCGTTAACAGGGCGTTCTCTGTCGTCTAAATGCACATTTGACACGTTGAGACGTTAATTTTTTTTTTACCTGTTGAGACAAACAGATCTGACTTGGAGCCCTTCAGCGTTCTGCACTAATGTTACACAATGTGACACCACAGCCAGACGCTGGCTCGCTGTTGGGACACGGTGTCATTATGCTCCATTCAGGAGCAGCGGCTGAGTCGAGTGGGAGACCTGGTGGTAATGTTGGGTTCATTGTTCCAGTCCAGTGTTTTGGCTTCATATCAAACCAGTTTGAACATTTCCACAGCAGCTCCACCCGACCGACTCACCAGGTATTTCATTGCAGTCTCTGCGCTGAGTGCTGTTCCCGACACAGGGGGTGTTGCCCTGAGCGCCACACACCCGACTCCTCATCTGCAATCCTGAATCATCACAGGCCGACCACAGCGACCAGGCCATCCAGCCACCTGAACACAGAGAGAACAAAAAGCAATCAATACAATCCCAGACAAAAAAACAAAGCCACACCAAACCCGGATGTCCTGGAAACCAACGCGCCCACCCAAGCTGTCAGCGCCCGCGGCCACTAACCTCCCCAGCCAGCCAAACAGCCCAAACACACCACAAAGTGTTTGTGATGTAAACAGGATTGGAAGAGTAAACCCGTGGAGAGTTTGTTTAGTGCATAGCGGAGATGTTTGTCTCCCGAGCCAAGCTTTAGTGCCGTTTCCCCGCAGCAGCCGACCGAGCAGTAAACAAAGGCTCCTACCCAAGAGGAAAGAGAAAATTCCCAACTCTCAGCGTCTCCCTTTGAACCATGCACTCGCTGCACTCTTTCACCCTGGATCTAAAAGCAGAGTAAAGGAGCACAGGCTACTGCAATGAAAGGCTGATGAAAAAGCTTGTTATTCAGGGTGCTCTCAAGTGTGCAGTTTTGGCAGAGGGTGCCCGAGTGGCGGCAGAGGACAGGCCTCCTTTACCTTTCCTATCAGTCTGGCGCTCAGCGACAGGCTGCTCTGTCTCCACCATCTGCTCCCTTCTCACCGCACAACCATCTACACACACAGAACACACCGGCCACCTCAAACATGTTTAATAACCGTGCACCAATACAGCCCGCTTTAATTGCTTCATTTATTCCCATTTATTTTTGTCACTCGGTCGACCTGCGTGATCGTACTGTTGAGTCAGAAGGAACGCCATCAGGCCCGAGGCTCCTCGTTAGTATTCCATCCCCTCAGTCCTTCCTGCTGTCCTCCATTACTGCTGGAAACTTTAATCAAATGACCTGCGACAGGGGCATCAAATATCCCTGTGACTGACAGCCACTGTGCCTCCAATTATGAATGCAGAGAGGACGGTGGCACCAGGAGGACCCCGATAGGTGACTGATGTTGTGCCCGTCAATAAACCAACAGACACAGAGACGGATCGGGGCTGGAGAGGCTGTTAGCAGACAGTCGATCGGCACAGGCCCAACGGGACGTGTTGGTCCATGTCAAACAGGAAAACATTAACCTGATAAAGGAGGCTGATTAGCATCTCGGCAAAGAGAGAAAAAAAAGCTATTTTCCTGTCTTTGTGTGTAATTACCAGGGCGGCCGACTGTACGCGTTACTCTGCCTGTGAATGACAGGCGGCCTGATTCAAAATGAAAAGCAGCTGAGGAAAAGGACAGTTAAGGGGAAACAGCTATTTAATTCAGGCAGAAATCATCTGCACTACAAGCCGTCACTACACACACACACACACGCGCGCGCACACACACACACACACACAGGCGGACACGTACTCTGAAACACACACGCCCGCAGACGATGAATATTTGTCCAGGACATTTTTGTTTTTCCAGCAACATGAATAAAGAAAAGATGAAAATCACATCGAGGCGACAAAACGTTGAAGCTGTTTGATATTAAACCTGAATTCTTATTTCAGTTCTCAGACTGGAATTTTTTTGTCTTCCAGTGGATTAGCAGCAGATCTCTCATGAATATTTCAGTGTCCTTGTGGAGCAGAATGGGAATAGATGGGGGGGGCACAGAGGGCGTTGTTACACATCTCACACCTCATCATCATATGGTGTGAGACTCTGGGAAAAGCAAGGCTAACCTTCAAATTGAAAACCATCAGAACGCCTGATTTAGTTTCACCAAACTTTGGTGTCAAAGCAGCTTCTGTTTGACTTAACTTCCCACAGGTCTTCTTGTGTTATCGTCTGATATTTCTGTGGGCTGTAATCAAGCAAAGAACATGTTGTCGACTGAAATACGACCAACTCTTCAATCAATCAGTTGGTCAGTGGGTGAATAACCTCTGCATGATTTCTCTGTGTTAACTAAATCAACCACAGTGAGCAGGGTGCGCTCGACCTGGTGGCGCCATGTGTCCACTGAATCCTTTTTTCCTGTCATAGCGCTCGACATTTTAAACACTTGTCCTGGGTTGAGCCCAGTTACCTCTGCTCAGGCAGGTGAAGTGCCTCATGTGAAAAATATATGTGACGTCCTCTGTAACATTATTAGACAATAAAATGTGCACTGTATCGCTGCCTCTGCACTGGTGATAATTGTGGCTAGAGACATTATCTTTTGGGTTATATATTGTTATCCTGAACAACGATAATTGTGTATTTAAAATCAGATTTAGTGCCAGCTGTAATCTAAAGTAACTGGGGCAGTAATTTTGGAAAGATTTGTTGGTTTTGAAATCATTAATGTAATTTTTCTGTGGTCTGTGTAGCTCAAACTGAAGTCTGTTTATCACCATAGTACGCTTGATGGAAACAAAAATTGTCCTTGCCTAATGTGTACGAAAATTAAATGAAGTATAAAAAGGCAGCGGAGGAGATCAGACCTTCGTCAGGCATTCTCTACGAGATCCATGACTGAAACAAGATTGGTGGAAGCAGAAATATTAAAACTGAATATCCTGAAACCTGAGCAGGTGAAACAACACTGGCTACACACCCAGAGGAGATTTAGTTGGGGTTTTTTTTTGTAATTCAGATGATTGGACTGTGAAATGTTCTGTTTTGCATTAATAAACAAAATCTGTGGAATCGTTCTGTAAATAAATCTGAAGATCCAGAAAGTTGGACATGGACCAAACCCTTTCAGTCCAGTACCTGTGGAACCAGCAGTAACCCTTCAGACATGGTACCTATTTAAATATCCCATGGAGAGAGACTCTCACTGCAGCCTGTTCTATTTTGTTGTGAAAATGTGGGCGTGCAGCCTCGTTCTGTGGACGATAAACCAGGTGCAGACTTCCATCTGTGTCACCGCTGATGAGGAAATACAGCGAGTGCTGGACGGAGCAGTGAGTGACAACAACCCCGCCCACATTTAAGAGGACTGTCTGAACAAACCGAGGGTCTAGGTACCATGTCTGAAGGGTTACTGCTGGTTCCAGAGGTGCTGGACTGAAAGGGTTTGTGTTGAGTTGTGTGAGTACGAGACCTGCAAGGAGAGGAAGAGCAAGTGGAATGGCTCCTGTATGTGGCGAGAAATGTTACTGTTACCCCCCCACCCCCCCCCGTCAGGCAGCTGCTGCCACAAACAGGATTCTGTGGGAAACACTGCATTCACAAGGATTCAGAACTTCAGACGCATTATGTAATATTTCCATATGTTCATTACAACATCACAGGTCGATCTCTTTTTAAAGCTTTCCAGAGAGGTTGCCATGGCGCTGGGCGCTCCAGCAGCACAGCAGGACACGACATGGTGGGAGGCCGGGCTGTTTTCTCAGCAGGACTCTGTTTATCTTTCCTCGTATCTAAGACCTGCTTTATTCATTAGGAGAAGATGAAAGATGCAATTTAGACAACGGGACGACACACAAATGACTCGGTGTGGGAGATGGCGGCCTGCGTGGAGGCGTGATGAAAGGACCTGGAGCAGCAGAGGCACGGCGCAGTTAGATTCTGGATTTGTGTGTGTGACCTTACCGTCGCAGGTGTGTGTGTTGCACAGGGCCTCCTCAGTGTGCAGGCCGATGCAGATGTCACCTCCACTGGTGGGTGCAGGGCTGTTACAGGAGCGTGTGCGTTGGTAGTGACCGCCGCCGCAACCCACTGAGCACTGAGACCAGGACGACCAGCAGGACCACGCACCCTTTACTGGAATAAACAAACAAACAAACAAACAAAGGTCATTTTAATGGTCAGGATTTAAAGATGCACATCACAAGCTCTGCCGGGTTCAGACTACACCACGTTTGTCTGTTCTGACAGCGACTACGTCAGATTAGACAACTGGAGAGACATAAAGTCATGCCGTGACTTGGCCGACAGACATGACAGATTACATGTTGGTCCATGACCAATCATCACTGGTCGCTTTTCACGGCGTGTGTGATGTCATCATCTTATTCAGGTCCTATTATTGTTACTATTATGTCAGTCACTGTGTCTGTTCATGTTCCAGCTGATCTGTTACTGTAGTAACATAAAAAGTGTCAGTACCGCATGCAAACTATACAAGTCACTGAATCCTCCACAGGAAGTTCCTGCACATGTTTCAAAATAAAAGCCATTTTAGAAAATGAGGGGATTCTCTCAGCTTTTAATTTGAAACAGAAACAGGAAGTGTTGAGTTTGATTAAACTAAGAACAGAGTGATAAATGGTGTGGTGTGTTTGAGATGCAGCTGGTAGCCTCTGCAGCTGTGCTGAGTAAAGGCCCAGACACTATCCGTGAGTTTGATTCCTTTATATCCTCCATTATGAAGACAGAACATTCTTTGCTAGCTTGATGCTAATGGCAGTACTCAGCGGGTTGATAAAGTGCCTCTGCTGTTTCCTTTTAACTCTGTGTGCTAACGTCCCAACAGGAAATATCTAAAAGGCTGGGCTGTTGTTGTCCTACAGTTTCCATGGCAACAGATCGCTCTGTGTTCCTATTGGTCAAAGTGACGGCTGTGACGGGAGAAGTTGTGGAAGACAAAAAGAAAATCAAACATGCTAGACTTTTTGTTGGGACGTCGTGAGGTGTCCCAGACGTGGCGGCTGTTGTTGTCTACTGTGACACCCTACACATGATAAAACGATGGATTATGGCGCATGACACTCATTGTCATTCATGATCTGAGCTGACACTGTACGACGCCGTGTCGGGCTATACTGATATTGATATTGTGAAGTCTCAACCCAGCGTTACAGTTTGCTAATGAGGACTTGGGACATGAGATGACTGACAGACTTGGACTTGCTCTCAGTAAACAGCTCTGCTAGTTTGATTTTGTTGTGTGTTATCTGTGTGTATTTGTTGCAACAGCTGGATGTACCCCAAAATGTGTTTAACCCCGACACAGAATATGTATTAATTCATTTAAGCGTGTGCAGACCACAGACGCCACACTGAGGACATTTTCCCTCTGGTCAATAAACTGGTAACAACATTGGTGAAACTGATTACACTGGACGTTTAACAAGAAACGTGTGTTGATGACGCTCAGATTCTGCAGAGCGCTGTGTCAAGTTACTGCTGATGCAAACAGAACATTTAAAACATTTAACTGGTGAAACATGACATGACTTAATATAAAGTTTGTGTTTGTAGGTGAGAGTATCAGAAATGTGTCCACAAAACAAGACAACAGTCATTTGGGCATTTGTTTGACAGTGGATCAGTTTGAAGTATTTCAGGGGGCAATAAAACAAGACGGAGCGTTCAGTGAGCTGTCAAACACAGAGCTGCAGGAGACAGACTGCACACCTCCAACTGCTCTACCCTCAACGTTATCAGGTAAAACATCCCCAAATATGTGCTTTGGCCTTTCACTTTGACACCAAATCATCTTTTTTTGAACTCTCCTTATTCTGATCATGTGATAGGTGATGCTTTTACCTGCTACTCTGCTGCTGCTGCTGCTGCACCGTCAGTTCATAATTGTCGCGTCCGTCGTCTGACCAAGCAGTGGGTACGTAATGTACTGTAATATCACCCAAACAGGGTTTCTCACACAATCATTTATTTGTGGCGGCCCACCATGACATCAGTATTTGCCGCCACATTGATTTTCTATTTTTGGAGCTGGAGAGTTATTTTGGAGCTCTGTTGGAATATAAAAACTGTTTGGTAATTCAGAGCGCCACACTCTCTGAGCACAGACGGAGCAGGAAAACACCAGAGCAAGTAAAAGTGAAATTTAGCTCTTCTTTAATTCATAAAGAAATGAACGTACGTTAGATGAATCCACCCTGTGGTCCGTCACTGGGTCATAAAGTTTGCCTTCACTCTGCTCTGCAGCAGCCGCACCTCTTATCTAATCCACGGATCATCTTTGACTGATCCGACCACAAACTGATCATCTGATCATCCTACAACTCAAACACAACAAACTGCTGCTGAGGAAAATAGAAACTCATGACCTGCTCTGTGATCACAGACCCAGAGCTCCCTCCTCTCCTCGGTCAGTTCCCACCACACACACAGACTGTAATTCTGTGGGAAAAGCTGCCGAGTGCAGAACTTTTATCACCAGGCCGGATGAAGCTAATCCTGACAGGCTATAACCAACCTATCGGAGTCCAGCTGGTGGCGCTGGCCTCGGGGAGACTACACCACATTTGTGAAAAAATTATGGATGTCCTGCAGACACTTTCTGTCTCTTCAAAGTTTTCTTTTTCTTCTCATACTCACTCATGTGAAGTTTTGTTTTTGTCTTGCTGGGCTCTGATGTTGGTCACACTGCATCCACCCATCAGCCAAAACATCCAAACCACCGACAGGTAAGGTCAGTAACATTAATTATCTCGTTACAGTGCAAAGTTTTGTGAGGAAACCTTGTGTCTTGCCATTCATGTGGAGGCCACCTGACATCGCTGCAGACCAACTACACCCTCTCATGGTAACAGCACTCCCAAGTGGCAGTGGCTCCTCCAGCACCATGTCACACCCTTAAAACTGTTGAGGAACGGCCCGACGAATGTGACAAAGAGCTTAAGAGTTCACCTGCCATCCAAATTCCCCAGATTCCTACAAGATCGAGCATCCATGCTGGTTCTCCACCTCACAGCAGGAGGACTCAAAGGATCTGCTGCCAACGCCCTGATGCCAGACACCATGTCACCCTGAAAGGTCCTGTGTCCATGTCTCGACAGGTCAGAGACAAGTCTGATCCAAAGACGCCTCACCGTGGATCTGCGTTACCTCTGTGGTTACCAGCACGTCCCACAAACACTCGGCCATGTCATACCCTGAGCTCTTCGCCACATTCCTTTGGTCCTTACTGAGCACTTTTATGGTGTAACATGATGCATTGTGCATTTTCCCATGTCTGATGTCCTATAGTCATTTTAAATGTCTTTTTGGGGGTTTAGTCTCTTCCTGATTTTCGCCCACTGTGTCTTTACTTTGAACCTCTGTAGCAGCGCTTCAGTCTTTCCATGGGGACTGTTAATGTTTCTGATCTGATCAGCGTGACTGACTAATTGACCGGGTGGTTGAGTGGCCGATGTCCGTCAGACTGACTGAGAGTGGCCGCGTTGCCAGGTAACGTCACAGTGCTGCAGAAAACTCTATTAGCAGAGTGGATTAGTGTGACACTGGGAGTGAAGCAGGCTGTGGCCACTTAACTCTGACTAGCTCTCACAGCCAGCCGCCGCTCTGCCTGACTGACTCTCTGACTAACTGGCTGTTTACCTGGCCGAGTGTCTGACTCACTGAGCGACCCACCTACCTGACTGACAGCTGCTTTTATGACTCTCTTACAGTCTGCCCGTCCTCCTGTGAGGCTGAGTGATGTTCACAATGACCCGTTCTACAGGCTGTTTGTTTGGCTGCTCACAAACTCCACAAACTTTACTTTGAATCAGATGAAGCAGATTTAACAGCAGAGCTGGAAACTTCAGTCACAAGAACTTTGACCTGGTTAAGTTCTGACTTGAGAGCTGACTTGTATTGTAAAGCTTCAATTAGTAGCCCAGGATATTATTCACTTTAATCACTGAACTCAACAGGCCTATATTTGGGACAGGCCTTTAATTCTTTCCACACAAAACTGTTGCTCAGCAAAGATCATGAGATACCATCAGATTATTAATTTAAACCAGTTTGAATATTACCTGTTTAAAAATGAGGCTTCAGATAACATTAATAAATCATGGATCATTCATTGATCCAGCACAGACGACACTCGTTTTACGGCCCCCGACATACTGACACAACCGCACTTCATCCTGTTGAATCCATCCTCACAACTTGGATTCATTTTTATGAAAAACATTTTTGAATATTTTGATCTGCGGACTCTTACAGACTAAAGCAATATTTAAATTTACAGGGTAGTCAAAGAACGAACACGTAATTTGAAGAAGACAACAACCTGCTTTTAAACATACGAAAACCTCTATTAAAAAAATGAACTGCCTGGCAACCGGACAGGTCTAATTGAGGCAGGTGTTTATTTTTCAAACTGTGTAGCCACACTGAGCTTTTCATTGAAGCTTTACAGTCTTTACGCTCTTCTACAAACAGCAGCAGTGTGACGAGGCGCTGAGCGTCTCTTCTTCACAGAGTGCAACAAGTTTGGAGATTTGTTTCTGGTCACTGAGAGTTTAAAATATCCACTTTGGATAAAATGCTGAGCTCGTCACTGTCACTTTTTATCCAGCCAGGAGGGGCGGGACAAATACCACAAAGACCAGCCATGTAAATGCTTTAAATAAAGGACTTTATGTTGAAGTACAGGGGATTTATTGTTTTGTTTATTTATTGTGGTATCGACGACTGAACTCCTGGTACTGACACACTCCTACCTGAGACCTGACTCTGACTTGTGTCAAAGCACCTGAGCGTGGACCTGCTGCTACAGATTTAAAAAGCTTTCTAATTGTCACATGATGACTTGTTACTGACTACAGTTTGTTAAGAAAACTTCACAGATGGAGCGATGCCTGTGAGGTAGCTCAGGCATTCAGCTCACACACACACACGTCATACCTCACTCTCCACATGTCATCTACAACACACACCCTCCCAATGTGGAGGTCTCTGAGCTGTCTGACTGAACTGACTTTGATTATATTACGGACTGGACTCATCTGACATGAGAGGTGACGTGAGGACGAACACACAGCTCTGTGGTGAAAGGATCACTTTAACCAACACGCCATGTTAAACAATGACATCATGTCGGTACATTAGGTTTACATAAGGGACTGATTTTAGGTCAGAAGCTCTTATAATGAAACTTATAATTGAACTCAGACTGACTGTGACTTACTGACTGACTCAGTGTCTGCACACACACACACACACACACACACACACACACTATTCATTTCAATCTCCACAGCGATCTATATTGCCTCTGTCCTTCTCTCTAATCTCATCATCAATTACTATTTTGCTCTCATTCTCTCTTCTGTCACCGGCCTTGTCCTTCTCACCTGAGCGTCTACGCGGGACAGGCGCACTGAGACACTCGCGGCAAAAGGCTTCCTGATTGGCTCCCTCCCAGCGGGGCGTAACCAAGGCCGTTCTGCCTCAGCTTCCTGAGGTGACTCGTGTCAGTTGTTTAAGATAATCACACACAGAAACCAACAACTGACATTTAAAGACAGCACAGAGCGGATCAGCTCCATCCCATCATAAATCCTTCATTCATAAGGAAGCAGTCATGAATATTAAAGAGCAGCTCTTCAGAAGGCCTTTATCTAATGCCAGCCATCGTGTGTGTGTGTGTGTGTGTGTGTGTGTGTGTGTGTGTGTGTCCTGGCTCTGGTGTAATAAGTGTAGCCTGTCAGTGCAGCAGTCTGTGGTCAGCAGAGCCCCGGGTCAGCTGATTATGGTTTGATGAGGAGTTTGAAATAGATAACTTCATTTGTCCAAGGACTCTTTGTGCTCGGCTGCAGCTGCTGCTAACCATTAGCTAATGAAGCTAATGATCCACTCAGCAGTATTTTACTACCACCACTGACCTTCCTCCTCTCTGCGTCTCCGTCTCCATCTCTGTCTCTTAGTTGTAGTCACATTTTAGTCATGTTTATCTTTCATAGTTTTAATCAACGAAAATTCAAAATGTTGGTCGACGAGAGTCCATGACAATTAAGTCAACTCTTTAGTCATTAGGTTGTTTAAATGTTTCAGAAATTAGACTGAAGGTGACAGGTTGTAAAAAACATTTACAAACTGTCATTTCTCCAGCAGTGTTTGACAGGTTTAAGGGCTGATTTATGAATATGAATTATTTTTGGGTAAAAATCTTAATTTTTACTGATTTAACAACATGTTCAGGCGCTGACACACGAAGCTGACTGTGGGCTGTCAGTCCATGTTGGCCTGCTGGTGAGCGTCTGTCACTAGTTGCAGCTTGTCGACCTGTGTTGGGTTTTTATGGCCAGTTCAGCCCGTCAGCCAGAGAAATCACTCTGATCATAAATTCAGTTCAGTGCACGAGAGGAGAAACAGAGGTGAGTTGAGTAAAGGAGGAGCTAAAGACCAAAACCAACTTGTTCCATGAGGTCAGATTATTTTTCTCTTCAGCAGAAACGTTTCCTGATGGTTTGTGTTATTGTTCACTGGCGCACGGTAAATATGCTCTGATTGTGTTGTTCATGTGCTAACTGGCTAACTAGCATCAAGACGCTCTTCCTGTTTCCCTTTTTCAATGATGAACACAGATGACCGCCGTCTGCTGCTGTGGAGACTTATTTCCTCTCACACTGGCTGTAGTCTTTGTGGTGCGTTCACGTGCATCTTTTTGGCTCAGACACTTTGTTGCTGCTAGTTCTCCGAAGTCGTTCTGGTGTGTCTGGGTCTCTACACCTAAATATACGTATTCTGTAGTGGATAATATCAGAGCAATAACACTCTACTGTCAAACAGAAAGTTCTCAGTTGTCAAAAACCTGATGTGAGCGACTTGTTATCCACCAGATTTTAACACCAGCAGCCTGAACACGTCTACATGAGAGTCTCTGCTGAGTCAGGTGTTTTTAAATCTGACATCAAGCCACATTTTTGTATTTTGGGCGTTTTTAAAAACTGGTTCTCTCCTGCTTTCTTTTCTTTTTTAAGAAAAATTGTTTTTGTGTGTGTTTCATTTTTAAATTTTTATTTTTGTTCTTATTGTGGTCTCCACTGTGACACAGTCGTTGCCTGTATTTTACTGTACATGTTGTGTTATTGTATTGAATCACTGGTTTGGTCCACTTCAAACAAACAAGTAAATAAATAAATAAATAAAATACTGAGTCATAAGAGAGCATGAATGTAGCTGGTTCTGATGTGTCCTCACTCACCTGGACACGCCTGGACGTTACAGTCCTGGTACTCCACAGGTGACCCACGGCATGCGACAGGCGCGCTCTTCCCCTCTGGTCCGGCGCAGGTTCGCCGTCGGGTGCGGTAGCCTTTGGCACAACTCTGCGAGCAGCTCGACCAGGTCTCCCATGACGACCAGCCGGCGCCCGCCACCCTCACCACCGGCGTCTTCAGAAGCTCCTCGACGAGGGCTGGACAGGGAAAACGCTCCAGGTTAGATTAAAGTCACAGGAAGAGAAATATGTGCGGCGCTGTCAGATGGAGAGTTTAAAGAATTTAAAGGTAGAGGTGGAGCATGCAGACTCTTTGAGTGTAAGTCACTCTGTGTGTATGACTTTGCCAGCAGGCATATTTCTCAGTCTGTCCTCTCTGTGTCTCTCATATATCCCAGTGTTCCCTGCTGTCTGTGTTTCATCAGTTTGTCAGAGTGGATGGGCCCCCCAGGAGGCTGACAGGGGGAGACAAGTAATCGATTCAGGGGAGGGAGGCATGAAAAAGCCACCAGTGGAGAGCAGTGGACTGTGACCCTGTGTGTCAGTGTGTGTGTGTGTGTGTGTGTGTGTGTGTGTGTGAGCTGCACTGTGACCCCGGCACTAACAGCATGTGGGGAGCTAACAGGAGCGCCCTTTCCACATGTCATGCTCCTACTGAAGGAATCTTAGCACGCTGCTGCTGCTGCTGCTGCTGCTCACTGTCTGTGCACGAGTGTGTGTGGTGACTGTGTGTGTGTCTGTACACACATCCATACAGAGACACTGATTATTATCCTGTCGACATTTCACCATAAATACACAAAAAATACCTTTTTGATCCTCTGCACATTTTCTATCAGCTCACTTCAGACTCAGTTCACTACAGTTCACAGGTGACGATTACTGAGCAGGCCGATCTGACACCAGGTCCACAAAGGTCAGAACCTCTGTGTGAAGCAACTGATGCAAAGCTAAAGGTAAAAAACTACTCACTTAGATGTTGTTACAAGAAAGACACAATTTAAGGAGTGTTTCTCCCCTCAGGTAGATTTTTGGGATCAGTTCGGTTACAGCTGTGAGCCACAACAGGATGCTAATTCATGACGTATTATCCGAAGGTGTGAGCGACGGGCAGCGGGTGAACACAACTTATAGGTGTTCCTCTGAATTAGTTCCAGTTTTCTGTGTCAGTTTTGTTCATCAGAAAACTGTTGTTGCTGTCTCTGGGTAACATATTCACCAAAGTCTGCCACTGTTTATATGAAGGAAAGACTATTCTACTCTATTCCATTTTCAACTGTTTATCTGAAGCAGGGTCTCAGGGGCAGCAGGCTGAGGAAAGCACTCCAGACGCCCCTCTCCCCAGCAATGTTTTGGGTTAGGGGTTAGATGTCTGACTCCTCCCCCTATCTCTGTAGCCCCTTTTACACTGCCAGATTTTCAGCGAATGTTGGGCCGTTTTGCCGGCCAGCTGCGAGCGTTTAGACACACAGAGCCGGATTGGTGAGTTGATCCGAGGTGCTCAATTTTCCGCCTCGTAGGGTAGACATATTGGTGGAACCCTTTTAGTTTAAACAGACCGAGGCGGCCTTCTGCAACAGAAGGGGCTGTTGATGACTTGTGGGAGGAGCTGTTGATGACTTGTGGGAGGAGCTGTTGATGACTTGTGGGAGGAGCTGTTGAAGACTTGTGGGAGGAGCTGTTGATGACGCTGCACGTGCGAGCCACTGGCGGTGGATAAACAGGAAACAGCTGAAAGCAGGAATTAGCGAGCAGCTAGTAGCAAGAGGGAAACACAAACCTGACAGACACTGTAAAGATGAGCAACTGGGGAGACAAGGAATTGCGCGCCCTCCTTGTCCTCGCAAACGAAGAGGCCATTAACCGTCAGATGACGGGGACGGTGAAGGACGGGTCGACTGTTTACGTCACACGCTGAGCTACACGTTTTGTTACTTGCTCACGCCCCCCATTGCCCCGAAAAAGGCACATTCTGTATAAACAAAAGTAGGTAGGCGGCATTTTGCTGCACTCCCTGATTTTGTTTTTATACTGCCAATGCTGAAAAAACACTGATTGGGCTTTCCTGCAAATTTAAACAACTCCTGTCTAAAAAGGGCTAAAGGCTGAGCCCAGACACCCTACAGAGGAAACTCATTTCAGACGCCTGTATCTGTGACCTCAATCTTTCAGTCATCACCCTAAGCTTCAGACCAGGAGAGACTAATTCAGATTCAAACTGAGCACTACAACCTCTTAAATTTCATTTCACTTCATGTAAAACTGTCGCTATAGAACGAGTCCTTTTCCCGCCATGTTTAAATAAGCTGTAAAATACTCTAGCTGAAGATACAACCACAGACTGGCGCCATCAGCTGCCAAGATGAGGGCAGATAAAAGTGCTCAACGCTGTAGAAACCTGATGCTTTGATGTACAAACACCTGTCGCTGCTGTGTCCAGTCCACTGGCCTTTTGCCTCCATTCAGAGTGGACAAACTACACTAATGATTAATAGTCAATGATGTGTCTTGGCTAGCTTGCATGTTTTTATTTGCAGCCTGTGAGCTCACTTTTTTTGAGCTATGTGGTTCATTCTAAGCTAACAGGGCTACAGTGATGGTGGATACATATGTGCGTATAATTTCATTGCATCATCCTGAGAACTCATGATGTTAGATACACCAGAGCTCACAAGTGTGAACTTCTTCTGCTCCATGTCACCACTGGTTTATAGTAACCATTTATAAAAACAATGAGCCATGCAGCCATGATAACACTGATCTTATAGCAGCTCTGCTCTGCGTGGTGCTGGACGCCGTCAGCTGGTTAACTTACTGTCTGTCTCGCAGGCTGCTGTTCCATCGTTGGGACAGAAGCGCGTCTCCACCTTCCTGCGTCCGATCTGCAGCTCGTGGGGATCAGACAGGTGGGCGCGGCACATGTAGCGCATCCTCTGCTCCTGACGAGCTCCGCCCTGAGTCACATTGACGGGCATCCAGGGGGTCCAAGGTGTGTTCCTCTTCACCTCGGGACACGCCTCCAGGTTACAGGCCTTGTACTCCTGCAGGAGGAGGAGGGAGACGTCAGGGCTGCAGAGGGTTAACTTTCACTCAGAATTTAAAACAGACTAAATGGAGGAGACGTCAGAAGCTGCGCCGGTCGCTGCTCCACACAACACCAGTTTTTTTAATGAAAGAGGGAAGATCAAAAGAATTCATCCTCCAGTGAACACGAGCACCCAAACCACATTTACACAACCTGTCCATTAGTTTGAGACACTTCAGTGTTACACCGACCTCTGACTCAAATAAGGTTATATATCAGTGCTGTTTCCAAAATAAGCCCATCCTCATGCACCGTGTTTATGGAGACACAGATTTATCAGTATTGACATTTTTCCATCCTGTGTTGAAACCTGAACTGTGGCTGATCCCCAGAGACCATCAGTCGTCACAGTGACATAAATCATCCCACATTTTTCACTTAAACAGACATGTGACACTTTGTTTTGACATCAAGGATCTGCGTGACATTTAAACGACATTTTTTGGTAAACAACGATCTAAATGTGGACACACTGTCACTGTGCTGACACCAGCTGAGACATTCACGGTCAGGCCAGGAAATCTGACATGTGCGTATCTCTGCTGTTGTTTATCATCTGTTCACCTCTGTAATAATTTTGCCCTCGCTTCATTAAAGTGTTGTTTAAGTCCAGCCTCCAACACACAGAGAGGACCAACACGTACTGGTTAACATTTTCTCACAGACCTACAGAAACAGCAGGTCTCTGCTCTGATCGGAGTCTGATCTGCCCTCAATCTAATAAATACCTGCTGATGAGCCTGACTGATCTGTCACACAGGCAGAGAGACAGGTTTTACGTCTCAAGGTCGTTCTACGCTGACAGATGTTTTATTGTGTGTGTCTATCTAGGTGTGTATTTGTGTGTGTTTCCTACCAGTGCACATCCTGGGCAGCTGTTGCCATTCTCACAGGTGCGGACCCTGGAGTGGACGCCGCCCCCGCACTCAGTGCTGCACTTGGTCCAGGAGCCCCACGGGGACCAGAAGATCGGCTGAGGACAGGACACGCCTTCATTACAGAACCTGTGGAGACGGTGGGGGAGAGGAGAAGGAGGAGGAGGAGGAGGAGGATTGTGACAAAAATACAGACTCAGAAGGAGCTCCAGACTTGAACCAGAGTTTAAAGCTGGGTGGGTTAATTTAGGCATCATTGTGGCAAATCCCATCATAAAGTTTGAGCATATTGTAATTCAAATGGTCTGAGAGAAAACTAGACTCCTGTTTCTCCTCTTGGCTCTGTTTTTAGGCTTTAGATATTGCAGCCGTAATGTGAGACTCTGCGTGCACATGTCCCTTCAGTGAAAGCCTGATTCAATGGAGGAGAATCCTGCAGAGAAAGTTGCTGCTCCAGCATTGCCAACAACTGTCTCCACTGCAGAGCAACCCAACGAAGAGACGGACTGATCAAACAGAGTCTGAAAGAGAGTCTGACAATAAACTAAATAAAACACGTGTCAGTATCAGTGAAGAGTTTCAGACATGGAGACAACATGATACTAACAGTTTAGCCTACTGCTAACAAGAGCCAAAGACTCACAGCTGCAGCTTCAGGTTAACGTTTATGTAGCTAACGTTAGCAAGAGCCTCAAATCACAGTGTGTCCTCCACCTCACTTCCTGCTGCTACAGACCACCTCGCTCCAGAGACTGACCCCCAGTCAGCAGCTGAAACAACCTGAATCCAGAATGTGTAAATCCTTGCTCCAGGGATCGGACAGCCCTGACATCCTGCCAGATCAGCTAACTTTCTGTTGCTGCTGTTACACAGGTTAGATGCGGTAATGTTTCTGGCCACCAGCCTGCTGTGACACCAGGAGCTGGAGGGTATGTGCTGGCCGAATTCAAGCTGCTACATCCGCTTACTGAGGGTCCGTCTCTAAAGATGGTTCCCACTCTCCTCTTGGAGAAGCAGTCCACAGTGGCGGGGAGCGAGGCGGAGGGAGCGTGGGGTGGCTAGCAGCTAATTCTGGTCTCATTTCTGGTCTGATAAAGAGAGAGAGCGGGGCAACAAGGGGCTGAGGGAATGAGCTGTGTGCAATTCTATAATAAAATAAGATTAAATAAATCAATGTATGGAAACACTGTGTTACTGTATGAAGTGTGTGCAAATGTCTGTGGTCATCTGGTGGGAGGAGCTTAGGACGGAGAGGGGAGGAGCTTCAGGAGGAGGGTGGATTTTAAAATTCTACCTTTTTGATTTTGCCTTTTCTAGATTTCTAGCCAACCCAGCTTTAACTCTACATCATGAGATATCACCCCTAATGACACTTTAACTTATGTAAACTATATTAATTCCTGCGAGTGGCTCTGTGAGTTAACGTCACTCCAGCCTGGGACTTATTTGAGACGACCAGATTGACCTTTCCAGATTTCCTGTCACTCCAGCTTTAAGCCACAAAAACAATGACTTGATACCTGATTGTCTCAAAACTGGACCTTCGATTTTAAAGTGAAAACACTCAAATCTCAGGTTTTGTCCGTCTCACAGGTCCAACATGACAAGGAGGGTTCTGCTGTACGTCCATGACAGACACATGTGATCACTGCCGTCTCTCCAGAGCATCAAAGTTTGGACAGTGACTTAATGAACATAATTACTGTGGTCCGTCTCACCTCTCGTCCCTGCTCGGCCCCACACACACACGGCCGCCATGTCGGGGTGACGGGTTGTTACATGAACGCTGCCGCAGCTCGAAGCCCGTACCACAGGTAGTGCTGCACTGTCCCCATGACGACCAGGGCGTCCAGCCTCCGTTTCTATGGCAACAGACACATGGAAAAGTATTAGCAACCTATTTCATAATGGTTCCAAAAGCTGCATAATTATTCACCAATGCTTTTAGTATTATTCTTTCACAGGATGTTCTCTAATGCGAAAGAGAGGGGGAAAAAAGAAAGCGCCTTTTAGCTCGGTCTAATCATTACTCTGATTCGTTGCTTCTGGAAACAGAAATGCAAACACACACACGGGGAGCCCATTCTGACTGGGAAACATTCATTCAATTTGCTTAAGTGCTTTGTTCCTGGGTAGCACTTCTCATGATTTAATTGCCACTTTCTGCAAAAGCACAATTCAATTTCGACACCAAGGATTAAATCTGGCGGAGCTATCCGGTGGGATGAAGGTGCCTAAGCTCTGTGTCTGTGCTCTGCTCTCGGTGCGGCTGATTGGCCAATTCCCCCGCAGACACAGGCGAACAGAGGTGTCACAAGGAGAGCCGGATGTCACCTACACTTTCTAATAAGATTCCTCACGTTCATGATCTTTCTCATGTTCTGTGGACGCTTCAAAGTCAGTCAGGACGTCGCTGCTGCAGTATCAGAGTTTAGGAAAAGATGTTCTCATTTACAAAATTAAAGTTTTAATGTCCTCAGTCACAGCAGTGAAATAATTTGGGCCAGAGTGCGTTATAACATCAATTTGTACCGTGACTTTTTATGATATCCTGTAGCTCTCATTATGATGCATCATTTTTAATATTGGATATAATATAATTCACAGCTTCAGTCTTGTTTAAACAAACCAAGCCTCTTTGTAAAGCACATTTCAGACACAGAGACGAGCTCCATAAGGCAGAGACATCAGAACAGCAGTTTAAACATGATGAAGAGAACAATGAAATCAATTTAAAAAGGAAAATAAAATGCAAATAGACAAAAGAGAGCACACAAGTTTAAGTAGAGTCACAGAGCAGTAATAAGATGTGATGGCTTCATTTAATAAAGGAAAAGTGCAGGAGACAAATTAATAATCTGAGTATGACGATTATAACCAGGAGACTCATGTGATTCAGAAATAACTCCCCCAGCTCTGTGATTCATGCAACACATTTGCACAGATGAGCAGATGAAGTCTGTATTTTACATGAACCATGACACAGCACCACTAACTGGGATGTACAGAGTTAACCTCCTTTTTCTTTTAAAGGCGTGTTAAACAAACGGAACCGATTCTGTCAAACGTCTTTTGAGATGTCGATCATCTTTTTTCTTCAAGATTATTTTTTGGGGCTTGTCTTTAATCAATAGGAAAGTATTAAGTGTGACAGGGGAGAAAGTGGGTGAACGACATGCAGCAAAGGGCCACAGGCTGGAACTGAACCCACAGCTGCTGCGGCAAGGACACTGCCTTTGTACATGGACGCCCACTCTACCCACTGAGCTACTGGGCGCCAACAGATTTCACTCTTCTGATAGATTTGAATTCGCTCTGAGCACAAGATGCCGATTCACACAGGACTCATATCATCACATGATCTCTGTGTTTGGTGAAATATGGTCGGTTGTTTGTGGTGAAATCTTTACAGGTGATGCTGGTCCTGTGTGAATCAGGCTGTAGTCACTAAAAGCAGTGTCTCTGTGTTCTGGTTCTGACCCGAGGTACTGCAGTCCGACTGCTTCCTGCAGATCTGAGGGGAACTACTGGATCTATATTCTTCAAATTAATTTTGCCCCGAGGCTTCTCAGTAATTTATAAACTAGTGACAGCACTTTAGAATCTGTTCTTTAACTAACTGGAAGTGTAAAGATTTAATGTTCTCCTGGTTCTCTGGCATTTCTGAATCTGCTGCACTTTGTCATTTTTAGGAAGACAGGGTAATAATTCATCGCACTGGAGACGAAGGAATAAATGAGGTCTTCTAAAGCTTGTCTGAACTTTTAGTTTTTGGTTTCTGATGATGATGAAAATCAGATTTAGATACGGTGTTGTGGTTTTGACCTGCAGGTTTGGTTTTCACTCCTCGTCGTTCTGCAAACAAGCTTTAGAGAAAACAGAGTCAGAGAGTCAGCAAATATAAGAATTTCTTTCTTGTCTTTTTTCTCCTCCATTGATTAAAAACATGTTCCAACTTGTGCATTCAGAATGATACCGTAGTCATTATATTATTTTTTTCTAAATATGATGGGTCTATGATTGGACGAGTCATTATTTTATCAAATACGTCTAAAACTAGGGGCGCAACGATCCATCGATGTGGATCAGTTCAAAGATCAATGATCCTGTATCATCTGTGCAAAGTGAAAATCACCATCTTTAGATTACACCTTTAAATTCTGTCACTGACACACAGCGTCCTAGATTTTGCTCTCGCCGTTCTTTATGAGCTTTTTACCCACTCAGTCATTATGTTCACATCACTGATGGTTATTTATCAAAACTCTCACTGAGTAAATATTTTCTGAAAGCACCCACAGTCAGCTCTACAATATTGTCTCAAAGGTATTCGATCAAAAACATCTTGATGTTTGATTTTCTCAGTATCACCCAGCCCTCATTATGGTCATTACACGTGTTGGTCGTTGTTGTTTCATGTTGTTTCAGTGTCTCCTCACCTGGAGCAGTTGGACACTTCGATGGTGGGGCCGTCGCAGTTTCTGCCTCCGCAGCGAGGGGCGGGGCTGTCACATGACCTGGAGCGGCACAAGCAGGAGCTCACACCATCCACCCCGTCATCATTGTTACAGGGTTGCCATGGCGCCCAGGGCCCGAAGCCCCCGTTGGTGGTTTGGTTCCTCAGCTGGAAGACAAACATCAGTCATGATGAGAATGAGACGAGGTCAGCAAACATCAGCGGCGGTTATTTAACCATCCAACACTCAGACCGCTCAGAGGTAGTTTTAGAGTCGAGCTGCCAGACGGGACTTTTCCTCCAAGATGGAGCGAGTTTCCAGAGGATTATAGACGAATACATTTACTGCATTCACTTCACTTCAAATTCAATCCAGTTGATCTCAGTAAAATCTGATCCTTCTCACTTCAGTCCTGCTCACCTCCTCTCCTTCCTCTGCTGCTCCTACATCCTGTCCTGTATGACACACACTGTGAGGTCATTCATCATGGATGACACACGCCACTGTGACATGTGAGACATCATCAGGGCGCCTGAGTCTTACAGGTCCCATGAGAGCACATGTGTCACCGCCGTGTTACAGTAACTGCAGCAGTGACGTCACTCTTACCGGACAGACGGTGATGTTCTGCTTCCACTGGCTCATGTTGGAGCTGTCCTCCAGCGTGGTGCATCTGCGCTGCCTGAAGTCCCAGCCGCAGTACGGGTCCCTCGCCTCCAAGCACAGCCTGCAGGGGACAGGAGGAAGAGGAGGAGGGAGGAAGAACGTGTTGTCAGCAAAATGAGGAGGCTCAACTGTTAAATTAACACAGTGCACATTAATAAACATCAGAGCAAAATGTACCAGAGTGAAACACAAAGAATATTTTTCATCTGTATTCTCTGGACAGACGAAACAATCAGTTGAAAACAGCAGAAAATAAACGAATAATCGTGATTAACAAAAATATTTAAGGAGCAACTTTACACCCAGTTTCAAGCATCTGCCTCCCTGTAAGATCACACAGGAAGTGCTTTTCGTAACAGTTTTTAATGAGAATAAAATGTTTTGCTCTCTGTTTTTACGTCTCTAGGTGCCTGTTGTTTCTGCCGGAGCGCTCTGAACTCTGAGTAAAAAAACTTCAGCTCAGAGCAGAACAGCGCCCCACGTCATCTCTGCTTTTCCCCCATTGTCCAATGGGATGATTTGAGAGGCGGGCTTCTGTGGTGGTCACGACAACAAGTTTACAGTTGGTAACCAATGGAGGAGAAACTGGTGGTAGTGGTTGCTGGATACCCAGAGCTATACGACTTTACAAAGCACAGTTAGCACCATCTGAATAGAAAACAGCAGATAAGTGCAGTACTGTAAACGTCCATGATGGAGGAGAAGCTCCTGGACCAACTGGTGGTACTCCCCATGATCCAGCCTCTTTTTTAGGGTCTCATGTACCCACACAGATCTCTGTTTATCTGCTGACAGCCTCTCACCCTCAACCAGAGCTACAGACAGCACCCTCTGCCTCAACATGGCAGCAGCTACACACTGATTACTGCAGGATACACACAATAAACAGCAGACGGTTACACAGGAAGGTTAGGGTGGCTGTTTTTTGGGAAGCATTTGCACATCATTCCTAGTTATTGGGCCGAGTCCAATGTCTTTAGCTCACAGCAATTTGAGCTCATAAAATGAAATAGAAATAATAAAATAAAATAAGATGAAAACAACAAAATGAAAATAAAAATAATAAAATGAAACACAACAAAATAAAATAACAAACCAGCACAGGCTCAGTGGGGCTCTGTCCCCTCAGGTCTTTAACCTTGATAATAAAACAGTGAATGGGATGTGAGAATGCAGAGAAATCACAAGTTAGAAGTTAATAAAATGAAGACAGAGTCTAACTGTGGCAGCACTGACACTAAGTCGTACCCAGACACACACACCGGCCTCAGACCTGCTGCACTTTACCAACCGTTATAAATGACTGTGAAACGTGACACAGCGCAGACGTCTGTGTGCATCACTCCTCCCTGGGCTCTCACACAAACAACAGCATACACGGTACATCACCCAAACAGTGATTAAATATTTGTAAGCTTCTCCAGTAAAACAGAAGCTTAATGACGCCTAATTAAATCTAAAGCTGTTAATGACGAGGCTAAGCTGGCAGAGCTGATCTGGATGCCTCAGGAACGCAGGATAAAGGCATCGACTGAATAACTCCTCTCTTTCAAACACTCCCTTCACTTTCTGCCTCCTCTCCTCCTTCATATTCTCCCTTTGTTTCTCTCCTTCTTCATCCTCCTGCCTCTCCTGCTCCTCTCCTTCATCACAGCCCTGTAGCGTCGTCCCCTCCTCCTCCTCCTCCTCCTCCTCCTCCTCCTCGCTCCCTCTGTTCAGCTGAAAGCAGAGATTCCTGTTGTTGTTGTCTTTTCTCTTCCTGGCACAGACCTTCATGGTTTATTTGAAGAGCCCTGTAGTGTTTCAGCCTGGAGGTTGAGGAATCTCCAAGTGTTGATGCAGCTCTCTGTGCCAGGTCTGGGGCTCCATGCTGAACTCGGGGTCGGCTTAGATCCAATAAAGACATTACTGCTTCGCCAGCACATCAGAGGTGACCCCGCAGACAGAGAGCGCCCGGGCACAGGAGGGGAAAGGAGAGACGAGGAGGCCATGTTCTCAGCTTCACTTCACTCACTAACCTTCCTGTGTGTCATTTTAATTAAGCGACAGGCGCCGGATGCAATCTCCAATACCGATGACACAATAATCATAATGAGGTCAGACACAAATTCACACTTCACTGATCCTAATAGTTCTTTTCAGAGGGCAGGGGAGGGGGGCGTTACCATTTAGGCTCAAGGTCGACTTTATTGTATCTGTGACTGCTCTGATGTGTGAGTCTGCACCGTCATCATGGCTGAGGAATTCTCATTTGGCTTTCTGATTACCCACACACACACACACACACACACACACACACACACACACACACACCATTACAGCGGCCAGCTAAGCGGAACAATTAATGTGTGCATATTTCAAGGATGGAATAAACGATGTTGTATGAAACAGAGAGGTGGGGAAAAACTTGAGGCCCAATTAGCTGCGGGTAAAGTGTGCCGAGAGGCAGATTGGGAGGATTCTGACCTCAGGGAGAGACACAGTAAGTCCCGGATTCACCTGTTTGCAGTAATTCAGAGAAAAAAGCTGATTGAAATATGAAATAAAAAGATGACTCCTCTGAGCTGTGCTGTGAGCTCTTAAAACAAGGAAACATGTATCAGCTGGCGGTGCAGGTGAGGACGGGGTTAATGCAGTGGGTTAAGATATTCATACAGCTGCAGGCAAACAAGAACACACAGACTCCCAGAACACGTCTACCCATAAATATCTGCACCTATCTGGATTCAGCACTTTGTCCTAAATCTGTGCTTTACCGCACTATATGGACAATTGCTTCAGATGGGCACTGCTGTCCCACAATGCACTGCACCGAGGAAACAAAGTGGCTGCAAAAATGAATACAAATTGCAGATGATGGTGACACAGCAACAGGAAAACATCCAGCGCTATATAGACAAAACCATGTAAACTGTGACCAAGTCATGACCAAGACCAGACCAAGACTTTGAGGGACTGAGACTAACACCAGACCAGAGTGAGTCCCACACTGTAGGACACATTTACGATGAAATGGAACGGCCAGTCACTGTTCTAGCGGAAGTCCGAGTAGGGCAGATGGGAGGGGTGGTGGATGGGTCCAACAACCACCGACTTTCACCGAACGTAAACGTAACCACGTGTGTGTGTTGGCAGAACATAACCATGTGTGTGTGTGTGCTGGCTAAACGTAACCACGTGTGTGTGTTGGCAGAACATAACCACGTGTGTGTGCGTGTCGGCTAAACGTAACCACGTGTGTGTGGCGGCTAAACGTAACCACGTGTGTGTGGCGGCTAAATGTAACCACGTGTGTGTGGCGGCTAAACGTAACCACGTGTGTGTGGCGGCTAACCACGTGTGTGTGTCGGCTAAACGTAACCACGTATGTGTGTGTTGGCTAAACGTAACAACGTGTGTGTGTCGGCTAAACGTAACCACGTGTGTGTGTGTTGGCTAAACGTAATCAAGTGTGTTTGTTGTTGAAGGAAAAAAACATCAGTTGGTGGTGTTGTACTTACGTAGTGCTTTTATTTTGAAAGAGACTGTATCAAACTGTACATTTCCTGTGAAAACAGAAGTGTATTTTGAAAACAGACAATGCATGTAACAGGCTGAAGTTGACACGGCGTCCCAGAACGTCAACAACCAACACACCCAGGGTACCTTGGACGTCATATGTGGACGTGGAAAGTCCATGACCAAACGTGGACATGTGACGAGGTCACAGTGAGGATGATGATGGATCCACATTTCCATACAAATAATTCACACAAAAACAACAAAATCCGCCTCTTACATTGCCATATTGTATACATGTGTGTATGTACAAGTGTAATGTGAGAAGTGTTTTGATCAAATCTCAAAAGGCTCTGCAGAATCAATTTTGTTGTGTGTGTTTGCTCTTTTCTATCAGCAAACAAATTCAAACAATAAGAAGCTGAAATCAATTTAACCATCAACACTCAGTTCAATGATCTTCCTGCAGTTGTGGTCCTGATGGTTGTTGTCGAGTCTGAGACAAGACGAGACCTTCAAAACGTGGTCCTGAGACCGAGACCATATCCAGCAGGCTAAACAAGGAACACTCTCCGCTCCTCCTGGAGGACCCCGAGGCGTTCCCAGGCCAGATGAGATATACAATCCCTCCAGTGTGTTCTGGGTCTGCCCCGGGGCCTCCTACCAGTGGGACGTGCCCAGAACACCTCTAACAGGAGGCGCCCAGGAGGATCCTGATCAGACGCCAAACCACCTCAACTGACCCCTTCAGACACAAAAGCAGCAGCGGCTCTACTCCGAGCTCCCTCCAGATGTCTGACTCCTCCCCCTATCTCTAAGGCTGAGCCCAGACACCCTACAGAGGAAACTCATTTCCACTGCTTGTATCCACGATCTCATTCTTTCAGTCACTACCCAGAGCTCATGACCATAGGTGAGGGTTGGGACATAGATCGACTGTTGGACTGAGAGCTTTGCCTTCTGGCTCAGCTTCCTCTTCATCACATCATGACTGCTGATGCTGCACCAATCAGACTGTCCATCTCACGCTCCATTTTAATCTCAACCACGAACAAGACCCTGAGATACATGAACGCTTTCACTTAGGGCATTAAGTCTGTCCCAGTCCAGAGGGGTGAATCCACCATTTCCTGTCTTGGAAAACAAAGCAAACAAAAAACGTACTGAACCTTCTTTGTGAAGTTTAATCACAGTGGGATTCCTGACGTCACAGTCAAAGAAACTTCACAACATGCTGCACCATTTTTCCGTAAACTTTTATACAAACAGTAAAAACAGTATGTTAGGACACAGAGCAGCATGTATACTATACTCTACTGGTATAATATGTGGAATTGGGACAAAGTGCAGGTTTGCAGTTTCAGTATTGTCTCCAATATTTTCTGTCACCAGAGGCCGTTTCATAAACTCAGATTTACAGTTGGAGAGAGAAAGAGGGCGTACTGAGACGTTTAGCTCCGACTCTGACCTTTCTGCAGCTGCATAAACCACCAGCCAAGCGCTCTCAGAGCCTTCCTGCCCCGACGGCTCACTGTTTCTAAAAAACAGGACCGCTGTAAAAGT